AGTGCTCAAATTTTCGATTGCATATTCGATCACTTTCGTGGTGCTATTGCATTTATTCGAGTCACCGATGGTAGCGTACAAAGGGGTCAGAAAATTCGATCTTTCCACCATGGCAGAGAGTATGAGGTCTCCGAGGTTGGAATGAGTAGCTTTATTGTCTATCACCTTTACCGAATGCCCTTGAAGGTGGGAGTAATGCGACCCGATATGACACCATGCTCATCCTTGAACGCTGGTCAAGTGGGATATGTAATCTGCAGCATGAAAACAGTCAATGTGAGTTGTGACCCAGTATCAGTTTTCATTACACATCTCATTTGATAGGAAGCTACTATCGGCGAGACTTTGTATGCTGCAGAAATCTCGGATAGAGTAGAGCCATTCCCTGGTTTCAAACCTATCAAACCGACTGTCTATGCTGGGTTATTCCCAGTTGAAGCCTCTGAATATGAAGAGCTGAAGCAGGTAGCGCTTTTGCTCGCTTTCTTTATAATTTTACCTTCATTTCTTATATCGTTACTTTTGAATTTCGTGAGAATGACAGTGTTTTTAGCTTACTATTAGCAAATACATAACAATGTAAAGTTCTCAGTTGTTTCGCACGCATAAGTAATTTGAAGTGTCTGCACAGAACTTTTGCAAAACTTATCTCCGCGGTTTGTAGTATATTTTTTACAAAAAGAAGGAGACCCATTTGCATGTGCTGGGAACCACGCAAGAGATTTCAACCTCGCCTTTCTTTGACCACGTGATCAGAATCCTAATATACTTTCGGCTATACTTTACTGCTGTATCCCGGGGTTATATAAAACCTCTTTTCGTTACAGGCAGTCGAGCGACTAAGCTTGAACGACCCCTCTGTTGTGATAATGCCAGACTCGAGTCCAGCTCTTGGACTAGGATGGAAGGTAGTAGCATTTACCGTTACACAAAGCTTTTCCCTTACAAATCAATCTAGGTAGGATTTCTTGGGGTACTGCACATGGAAGTATTTGGTGCCCGCCTAGATCAAGAATATGGAGCCAGTGTTATATTATCACAACCTTCTGTGGAGTACAAAGCAGTCGTCAAGGTAAGAGTTTGCATACGACTTGTGATGTTCTTCTGAGCGCCCTGTTGTAGGATAACGAGACGATTCGTAAGAAGAGATTCGGAGGGAAAGGTGAAATCAGCATCTTGGACGCAAGCAAATTCCCAGAAGAAGCGGATATCGAGAAGTTTTTGGAACCAGTAGTGAAGGTAATCACGATCATAAGATTTCTTATTGAATAAGGTTCCATCATAGTAGGTTCGTATGATTGTCCCCTCCGAAATGATGGGTGCAGTCAATGGCTTGTGCTCCGAATGTCGTGGAGAGCGTGGCGAAATCAGCTCCATCGACGAAGATAGGCTAATGATTATTTGGAGGTTACCGCTCGCTGAAGGTAGGTCGCTAGACGAACACTTTTCATTGATTAAACAGGCAAGATTTTTCATTTTAGTTGTTGTTGACTTCTTCGAACGCCTCAAAAGGCTCACTTCTGGTTACGCTTCCTTCGACTACGAGCAAGATGGCTATATAGAAACCAAGCTTATCAAGCTAACTATCACAATCAACGGAAGGGAGGTAAATTAGTAGAATAGCAGATGGTATGCGTAATTTAACTCGCGTTCAGGTACCAGAATTTTCTCAAATCATCCCCGCAGCTATGGCCAGAGAACGTGCGAAATTGCTCGTACAACGATTGAAGAGGGAAATACCTCGGCAGCAGTATGAAGTGACCATAAAAGGTATCTCTTTTCTAACATTTCTTTCAAATTCTTATTGCGTTTATCTCTCTTCAGCATGCATTGGTAATTCGACTAAAGCCTTATCTCATGTCTCCATACA